ATTTGAATTTCTAGACCTTTTTGGCATGCATCACCATTTTGCTATCCTTCCTCTGTTTTTGCTTTTTCTCTTATATGCGAACTAACTATGCGAACTAATATTAATAATCTTTGTTTCGTTTGTAGTACGTTATTTATAGAAAAATTCAATAATCGCGTGGCAAGAACGTGTACTTTAATGCGAAACCGGCTACTGAGATTTAATTCCCCTTCGCTGCGTGAATTTAATTGTCACGAAAAAAAAAGATGACCGAGATGCATTATCTAAAATATAAAGAAGGTTTAAAAAGGACATGCGGTCTTGTGTAGGTAAGAGCAAAAAACCGCACATAGCAACAACCATTCGTCTCGAATATACGAAAAATTTTTATATCAAATAATGTATTTCACAGATAATTTTTTTTATTCTTCTGATTTTTTAATATGTTTAATAATTTTTAAAACAAAATCTATAAAAAAGATTAACATACGGACGATGAATGATAACAATTAAATAGATAAATCGTAAATATATCACAGAGAAAAAGAAAAGAAAAAAAATATTCTTACTTCATCGATTTAATAAAAAAAATATAGCATGAAGAGAAGCAACATCCTACTTTAGATTATGTGAGAATGATTATACATGATGCAATGTTTCTAACGGAAATTTTATCAAAAAGATTTATAGATGAATTTATAAAAATATTAAAGATATTTTTTGCCGCGCAATCTTAACCTCTCGCGCACACAAATTACACAGCTTAGTTCGCTGCATCAGTGACCTGAGCAGCGAAAGTTCTTTTGTTTAGTTGAAAATCATTATTTCATATAATTACACGAGTTTCTTTCATATTTCGAAATCATATTTCGTATAAAGACAAACGTGTGTAGTATAAGGTGAGTATATGTACATCAAATGATTAATTAGAACCTAACCTCTTTAATTAACGCATATATATTCAAAAAATCTTTCCTTTGAAAAATGTATTAATGAATTTATTATTGCTGGCAACAGAATAAAATATGCAAAGTAAACTGAATGATACTAAAGACAATAAAAGTATGGTGAAGCCATTACGAGACTAAGCCAGTTATAATACATAGTTACAACCAGTGCAATACTGCAAAAATCTAGATCATATTTAACTGTGAAAAGATGAAATTTTACATATTTTTGAATTATAATTTGAATTATAATATTATAATTTTGATTTCGCATGAATTTCTATCATATAATTCCAAATACTGCATAATATAAAAAGAATTATTTAATATAACGTTAACATTTCATTATAAAAAAATTAATACGATCAAAATAATATCAATGACATAAATGCTAAAAAATATTATATATATTAAAATAGTAATCTGGAAATTATACATAATCGATAAATATGTTGTAACATGTAAAGATGATACATCGAATGAATTTGTTATACGATCGATTATAACTTTCACGAGTGCGAGTTCTTCTTGTTCACTACTTTACGCTGCACTTATATACGCGTCAAATCACGTCTAAACATTGCGTTAAGATAAGCACACGTATCTTTGATTCATATACAATATTGTTTGTGTCACGAATGCGTTCGATCCCGTGGAGCTCACGTGCCGTAAATTATTTGGTGAGAATAGCAGAGCAGCCGTTGCAACGCATGCGCATGCTCGCACTCAAAGCAGAAATTAAACTGTGGATCGCTGCGATCGAAATAACTCGCGACGGAGAACAGGTTTCCACGGATTTCTACGATAGAATTTGCACCGTAGATAAATCTATGGATTCACGATATTAAAACAAAAATTTTTTTATTATTGATTGTATTTTCTTTTAAATTTTGGATTTTAACGTGTTTGTTATATAATTAGTTCATTTTAACATAAAATATCTATATATCTATGTATCGGCATAAAATTTTTGCAAAGAATTTAAATAAATTATTGTTTTTCAAAAAATTATATATATTCTATTATTACATTTTTATAAAATAACATTTTCTGCTTAATTTTTAATATAATTTAATAATTAGCAGCATATTGCATAGTACTACGAAATAGAATTGACACTAATCAAAAATTAGATTATACAATGTCTAAAAAACTCCACGGTCATCTACCTCTTTCTATCTCAGTCTATCTTGAACATCTATTTTCAGGTCACATCGTGCGTATACTACTATTTCGTATTTCATTCGCATATATTACGCGTAGATATACCTACAGGCTTACATTGGCGCACAGTTTCACGTCAGCCGAGTGGAACGAAACTTAATTGCATTTTCACCCAAGTTGCTGACTACGAACAGATTTAATTCCTAACCTCACTTTTTATTCTTTTTATTTGTTCTTCTCACCGAGAATGATGAAACTCAGACAGAGCGTCATGATAAGCATTCTCTTTTTAATCTATCTTTCTCTTTCACTCTCATATTTTGTGACAGTGTCGGCCCTGAATCGGTCTTTACCTGCGGCCTCCGTAGTGTCCGTGGCAACGAGCTCACGCGAGTCCGAACAAAGGCGAAGAGGCGGCTGCGTGTTGATAGTAAGGGTAAGGAAGAAGGAGAGGAAGAAGAGGAGAAGTAGGAGGCGATAACAGCCGATATACTCTTCGTTCCGTGTACAGACGGCGTTGCTATCGCGGAACTCTCCTCGCTTGGAAACCACTATCGTAGCACCAACGCACCTTCTTCCATGTTGCATGCATGCAAATTCAACGCCAAGTACCACTAGCATTGACGTTCACTTACGACAAATGCAACACAACACGCCATATCCAAGCACAAGAAAAAGATGTCACCGGTAACTGTGCACTCGCATCGGGTTTTCACGTATCTTACGGCACAACCTCCGGTCCAGGACTGATGCACCACAGCTACAACGCGCACGGACCCTAGTCACGGCTACCACAAGAAAGAGAAAGAGAGAATCGTGACGCGCGATGCTCGGTCAGGCGCCATTTACAGAAACGCACGCATCGCTACTAGTTCTCTCTAACTCTATGTCTATCTCACTCTTACTACTTTCATTTCCCCCACTTATCTACTCGCAACGTATCTCCCTCTCTTTATTCTAGTTCCATCCTTTTTTATCTTATTCTTTCTTCCCCTCCTCTGACGTATCTATCCGACCTATCCCAATTACAGCGAACGTCCTTGAGGTGACTAACACCTTGTCGTCCACTGCTTGTGGGAACGAAGAGGGATGCATGAAAGCGTTGTGAAGAGGTGGAAAAGATGGTGATAGTAGTGGAAATGATGGAGGTGGTGAAGAAGGAAAAGGAGGAGGTGAGTGGAACCACCAAACCCTCGTTGTTGAGAACACGCGTGACGAGAAACTATGCTTTGATGTTAGTTGGAGAACAAAGACAGAAAGAAAAGAGCGGCGAATGCCGCATGTAACGCTTAGTCTTTCTTGAAGCTGTAAGTAAAAGGAGAGGGAGTAGGATGAACCATGCTTCTTAAGTGTCCGTACGTGAGAACGAGGAGGTTATTCACTGTTCTACGGAAATGTTCGAGCATGATGATGTTGCCACAGTAATGTGCCTTTTATAATCTCTGATAGTTATACGAATTCATTCGTAATATTTATATATAATTATATATTAATGTAAATTATCAATAAGGCAATAAATACTACAGTTTTTTTAATTATTTATTTTATATACTTTTAATGATTATGATTTACGCTTAAATAACATTGAATTATTTAATAATTGATTTTTATTAAAAATACCTTTCCCTTTTTCTGAGAATTATTAGTTAAACTTGTAATGCGCACCCCTAAATAATAATTGTAGCATTGTTATATATATATTTTTTTTTTGTTTAAATACGAAACAAGCGAATGTATTAATAAAATTTCATTTGTCAAGCGATACATTACCATATTTACATTGTATCTACATCATCTAACATTTTATTATGTTATATTCGTTTAATAATGTGATTAAGATAGTTTGTGGAAGGACTGTGCAGTAATAATACACGCGAAAATAGCGATAATAATGTATGCCTATCATTACAACATACTTTGCTTCTACGATTTCCGCCGTATCTTATCCCGCAATTGTATTTTACTCAAATGAGATAAATGCGATACATTACTGTAATGCCGATTGATTATTATTACAAGAGTCGTAGTGTTCGGAATCGACTATTTATTGCTCCTAGGAATTTATGTTTCTCTGGAGATTCTTAATACTGACTTTTCTCCGAAAAATCACAGAATTTAATTTCATTCTTTTGTCTTTTTCTTTTTTTCATTTGTTTAAATATTCATAAACTTGATTCATGTAATTGTTCCTCGAAAAACATTTGAATTAATTTCCAGTACTACTGGATTATCGAATGACAATCATATATTTTGAATAAATTTTTTAGATTATATTATACGATTTTACTATTTCTTTTTTGTCTTCCAAACAAGCGACGCACGAATCTCCGGACGTTTCATCGAATAAGCGCAAATTCACACACATATTAATTCTACTTTCGAAGAAATATTTTTTTTTTCTTTTCATTTTATACGAGGTACGCACAACAACATTCGAGCAACGTGCATGAGTCAGCGACGCGCGCTCAACCGAATACGCACGTTAAAAAAAAAGAAAGAAAAAAAACAGAGGATTCTCACACGTGAAAAAAGCATGACCTATAACGCACGTCGCTGTTACAATGAACAAGTGGTATCGTAGATTACAATATGGTACTTGCTCAGTCTACCCGTTTGTGAGAACAGACAAAGAGGAGATAAGATTGCCGCTTTATGCTTAAACTAATTGCGCGCTGACAATATTTAAAATTACCGAGATATAAGCGAGAATCGCGTTTTGCTTTTCTTTTTCTCGCAGCATTTCAATCGAATACTGGCTGTTTTAAAGACCAGCAGATTTCCAGAAAAAAATCTATCTTCGCGATTAATGAGAATTCTAAAGCAAAACCAGAATTCTCTCTCGCTTCAATTTTCATTCTAGATATAACACAGTAATAGTAGGGTACTTTTACATAGCACGGAACATGTTTATTATATTTCCACTTGTGTTTTTATTCTGTTAATTTCTCATATAATACTAACAAAACATTTAATTACAAAACATGGTATGGGTGTGTATTGTATTTTCTTTTTGTATGTATTATGTATGTGTCATATGTAAGTATGTGTATATATGTATCGTGTGATGAAAGCATTAATTATGCGTCTCTATGTGGTATGCATATCATCTGGTTAATGTAAATATTACGATTATTTCATAAGTTCTCTACAAGTAGATGGATTTTATAACGACAATTTACACGCTGAACGCGTGCAGTAAATACGTCCCATTTGCCCGCAGCGTCTCTTCGTTTAATTTTACATTCATCACGACTTCGTCTTGTATGGGCCTACGACCAATTCTTTTCTATAATCTATTCCGATGAATATGCAAACGCAAAAGAGATAGAAACGCTACTATAGTATGCGATACAATAATATATAATCGTATCTCAATATTAATCAATATTATAAATAGTTTTTAATAATTATTTGTCCAAACACTGAATATTTTACAACAGCCATCGATCTCAACTATTCATAATTCTATTAAACAGTTTGCAACTTTTACAGTTTCAATTTTTTTTTTTTTAATATTATGCGTAGCGTGTCCGATCCAATATCATATCAATAATAGGGATATATCATAAATTTTGTAATTTGCTAAAAAATATTCTCTAAAAAATATGTTGACCTAAAGATTATTATGACTGATAATCACAGACAATTTTTTCAATTTTCCTTTCATTCCTTTTTCTTTCTTTCTTTCCTTTTTTTTTTTAATTTTTAAATTTTTCAATAGTATTTTTTTTATCTTTCTTTTGCTGCCTCTTCTTCATCATCTTCGTATTCTTCTTTTTCTTTTAAACAAGTACAATATTCAAAATTCTACAATTCGTTTAAACGTTAGAATAATACTATTTTTTTTTTTTATTTATACATGATTTAAGAAGCGTTTTACATTTCAATCTTTTTTTCTTTTAATTACTTAATTTTACGAATAAAACGAAGAACCCAAAGACTCGAAGAGATGACTCTCATTTACAAGAGGATGCAACGCTGCGATGTTTTTGAAATTGTCGTAAAAAGTATTAACGGGCACCGTACAGTTCCATGAATAACTTAACCACTCGTTTCATTATCACACCAAACTAGTAAATATCCAACACTTTCATTACCTAAAGCAAATTTATCTCGAGGTAAAGTATACATATACATATTCAAGTTCGAAGATTATACATATATATTTATGTATATATATATATATATATATATATTTGTTTCTTTTTCTCTAACGTCAAAAATTTTTGCTCTTTTTCACACGAATCACTTTTTAAAGGTGCTGACGGGTGTATTTTAAACAAACAGTGCACAATATGAGTGGTGGTGTATTATGCTATCTTTTCATGTAGATTATAATTAATTGATAATACTAATAATAATCATAATAATGAAGGCTGGATGCGTAATACTAAGGATCTTGTACACATTTCGTGAATTAGGGAATCATTTAAAAAGATACAGAGTATGTTTCAGAAAAGCGCTCGACAAACTCTGAATATTTTTTTTATCAGAGAAGTATACATAGAACATAATTTTCCGTATCATACGGACGCTAAAATCTATATTTTTTGTTTTTCTTTCTTTTAGAGCATAAAATATTTTATATATGGAGATTTTATAAATAAAAAAATAATTAAAAAACAGTGTTCTTAATTTATCTACTGACACGTGTAAATATATACCCATTATAAATTATTGTTACAATCACCACAATTATAATTTGTGAATGGGAATATGAAGTATAGTAAAATACATCGCATATATTTCATAATCCCAAATAGTTCGTGATGATATTATGTAACAATTACAAGAATGCATTTTTTTTTTTTAAAGAGAAAAGGATGTTCTCTTCCCTCCCTCCATAAAAAAAGTTGTCATTCGTATCTTTTCAACAATATTAGACCATCATGTGCACCATGTTCTCTAAATCATGTTTAATGTAATTAGTACATCTCGTTAACCCTAAAACCGTCATCCATAAGTAATAAATATCAATAAAATATCTAACATTGCTATTATATTTTCAAGTAAATTACTTTTCTTATGTCATATTACTTTTTTTTACAGATTAAAATTAATTAATTAATTATTATATTAACAATATTCATTTTCCAATAATAGTCACTAATTATTGGTAATCATAATATTAAAAAAAGAGAGAAAAAAAAAAAAAAAAGATTCAAAATACCTAAAAAATGGCAATTTCTCGTGACCAGAACAAGTTTCTATTTCTTTCCCTTGTTTTATAACTTTTTACAAATCAGCATACGCATTTTGTACCAAACCAGGCCGATTAAAATGTTGCACGAACGACAAATATTTACGTGCTCAAATAATGTTCCTGCCATCATTTACTTCTTTATATTATTTCGTTAAATAAATTCGCGATCAATATTCATCGTATAACGCATTTCTTATTATTATCAAACTCTTTCGCTGCCACCTACTATTTCTTACTCTAGGCCATTTTTTCGTGTAAAGTGCACTTAACGGTGTCCATGGAGCACCAAATTTAAGGGACAACCACCTCGGCAGAAATTGATTAACCGCACTAAAATACTTTATCATAGCTTAATGGATGCATAGACACAATTAGTTTTTTTTTTTCAGTTTGAATATAAGTCATCGGGGTATATCTAAATCTATCACCGGGTTTAAAGCGTAGGTACATTAAAGGTAAGGCAAAACTGCATTTCACAGAAAGGTGCTTTTTACGGTATACAGTGATGTATCCGTAAAAATCTGAAATATATTCCTATAAAGAACATTTATAACTTTTCCCAGTGTAGGAAAATATCACAAACATTTCCTAGAAATATTAATATTCTAGAAAAGTTTACTTGAAACAATGATCTAATTATCTTTTTACATTCTGTTAACATAATTGATTACGTGATTATATATGCCTCTTACGAATCGTAGAAAAATTTCAGACAGAAATCACATAAAAATTATGATTAATCTCTTATACATGAGCAGTATGCTATTAAGTTTTTGTAAAATAAAAGGTTTCTTTTTTCTAGCGATTCATATTATTTAAATACAAAAATAAAGTAATAAGATTAATATTGTAATATTGGCAAGGCGGAAGCACAAACGTATAGGTGCATCGTTTAAAAATCTATAAAAACATATCAAAATAATATTGCGCGTACATAATCCTTCATTTAAAATAAACGAACAGGCTTCAATTTCTGTGGGAAACAAATCTTTGTTCCCCATTTGTTTCATTTTTATCTTTTTTTTTATCTTTTTTTTTTATCACTACTATAAGACTTAAAATATCATCAATGTCTGCCAAAGTAGGTACACCTTCAGACAGTATCCCACGCTAGGAAACTGTTCCTTCTTGCCATTCTCTTCCCCTCTTCCCCCTCTCTCTCATTTTTTTGCGCGCGCGCGCGTTCTTTCTTTACTTCTTAACATCTATGTTACTAACTTAAGTTAAATTGGTAGCTGTACTTACATCAAGACAGTATCTAATCTAACAATTACATATTTTACAAGAACATTTGAAATCTGGCCCTACATTAGACATGAAATGTCACAAAGTTAGTCGTACACTGTACACTAAATTCTAAATTTACATAAAATATTAAAAAATATTTAATTGTATGTCATTACATATAAAATCGAAATTTACAATAAAATTGTGTGCTTTATATCTTACAAATTTTTCTCTGAACATGAATATTTGGTATTTATCACGTAGTAAACGTGTTTCTATATTCAATAATTTCTATATTCAATATTTATATATTGACAAAAAATGTAAATGACAGTCATGGAAAGTCATTAATTTTCTTTTATAAATACATATTATTTTTGTGCTGTATTTATATTTTATTATTACTCAATTTCATACTTGGTCCAATTATGCATTAGAATTCTTAAATATATAACTCAAAATAATTTATGTAAAAGAGAATTTTATAAATGCTTTTAGCTTATGAATAATATATGAATATAAACTAAAAACATTTTCGATTTAGTGTAAAGTGACGATAACTCGTACACTTAAGCCTCAATAGTAGATAATAAGTAGAGTCTAGAAGACGTGCATAAAAGCACAGGCGTGGATAACACTTTCATGAGCCTTAACGTGAGCGTGATGAAGCACGCGAGACTCGTTGGATACGAAAGCAGGACATGTTCAATCATTTATTGCTATAAGTATACCCCTTAAATCAACTACGAAGTGTAGCTGTTTAAAGTAACATTGTCATAACGCGATGTTTCATGTACTATATCTGGCCTTCTAATATTTTAAATGTATATCTATTTCCTTTATAGTAATAAAAAGCTGCAATCTCTGAAAATAGTTTGATGATTAAATGAATAACGTTCAATAAAATGAATCCTATTCCAAAGCGCACATAATTATAGCACATTATTTTTTTGCTGTGCCGGTTGGCTGCTTACGATAGCTGTATATGCAGTCTCAATTGAGGTATTTACGACATCTGCGGGAACCGCAGGTACATGGAATCTTGATATCCTCGAAAGGAAATTTGTAGTCATACGTTAACTCTTCTCCTTGATTAATGCGACGGAGAGCGAAAATTAAAATGTGTTTCTTACCTAAGATGTCCACTACACGCGAGTAACAATTTGGCTGAAATATGATTTGTAAATTATAAATTAATTCAATAAAATTTTAAGTATGGATTATTATAAATAAATATAAAAAATACTTTGCTTTTTTAGAAAATATATGTAATTCATTAAATAGATACCTCGCATGAATGATTAATGAATCTAGCTGCATTTCCTTTCATTGTAGCATCAACGACTAAATGGTCATCGATTTTAAACATGTAACATCCTATATTTTTACTATCATAATATTTCTCTCGTTTATCAGTTAACGAAGCTCGAATTACCTATAAAGATTTATAAAATATTGTTCAAGAAAATTACACACAATATATTAATAACTAATAAAAGAGATTATATAAATAACAACACGTTTCTACACACCTCGCCGGCATACTCAATAACCATCTCTCCAGCTTCAATATCTCTCAAGCAAAATAAACCCCTACCATGTATATGAGAATGATACACTCCAACTGATTCTTTCGATGTTTCTTTAAGTATTCTAAAGCGCATTGCCATTGGTAAATTTGTGCTTGCCACTCGCCTACAACAATTTAAAAAAAATGTAATGAAATTAAAACAAAAGGTGAAAATATTGTATCAATCTTTAAAATATTGTATACAATCTTTAAATAATATTATTAATATATGTTATTTATAACTTAATTTAAATTTAGAAAGCATATCTTAAACATTCATTGTAACATCATTAAGCTAGACCATAAGTTCACTTATTTTTTTTAGATAAAAAGATACAAAAAAAAATACAAACTTGAAATTTATTTTAATCTATAACGTATTAACGTCATTATTTTATATATCATCTTTTTGAATTTTACAAATTAACTATTTAACAACAACTTATGAAATATTATTAATATAAATTTATGAATTAATCTAATAATAATATATAAAGTTTAATATATAAAGTTTTTTTAATAGTTATATTCATCTAAAATAATTATAAAATTTATATGATATTTGTTTTTACCTTGACTCAGCTTCAGAGATAGCAATCATTTTTGGCTGTTGTCTGTGCCTCGATGCAAGCCAACTAAACATATCATGAACTTTTCTTCCTTTAAACGGTTCAGCGCGAGCAGCACCATTATCGCATGCCTTTGGTAAATCATTTTCTATTTCTCCTGGCTTAGGCGGTGCTAAATTATGAAATCGGGGTTTATATTTAGTGCATCTATTTACATTCGGTAACTGTTCAATCAGATACACCGTAGCATTATTATCCAAGCCTAAATTTTCAATGAGAGGATTATGAGGCAACGGAGGTAAATTATGAGCTTTTCGAGCATTTTGCACGGCTCGAAATACAGTTTCCCATACTTCAGCCATTGAGGAAGCGGTATGAGTGAATCCATCCTGTGATTTTATTTCGTACATCAATGTCGGTCCTTTTGAAGTGTTTCTCGGTGTTTGTAGATTTGGTAAAGTTGGCTTTATAGATTTAATAGACTTACTAATCATTCTTGGCTTTTTAACAGCAACTGGTGGAGTCTTGGTTTTTAACATGTTAAATTTGTTATCGATTGGTTTCATTTTTTCCTCAATTTTATTCGTTTTCAACGTGAATGTTTTTATCGGTAACAATTGCAAAGAAGCTATTTGTGGTACTTGTTTTGACGGCAATATTTCTACAGATGTTACTTGTGGAGATTTCTTATTTTGTGTCATTGCTTTCATGTTATGTGTAATTTTATAAGAACCATCTTGCAATTGCTTTTGTAACACTATTTTTAACGAAGCGTTCTGTAATTTCTCTTTGTCCAGTTCCAATTTCAGATTTTCTTTTACTTTTTCGATCGCTTCCGTATTTAATTTCAAAGTTTCATTTATGTTGTTTATAGTCGTTTCCGGTTTCTTCATTGTAGGGGCTACTGCTTCAACAATTTGTTTCTTAGATTCTGTAATCTTTTGTTCTGGTTCTGCTGGTTTAATTACTGGTTTCGTTGGCTCTTCTATAATCATTTCTGTTTTTTGCATGGCCTTTGTCGTATCCTGTTTCGGAGTTACGGCTTGCATAGGTAATACTCTATTCATCGGTCGACTTGTTGGTACATTACTTGTAGACATTGTAATTTTATTTTGTACAGCCGAGCTGGCAATCACTGGATTGTTACTTGTACTTATATTAATATTGTTTGAATTCGGTATAGTACTACTATAATTATTATGCACATTATTTACATCATGATTTAACTTATTTACAACTATATCCCTTTGAGTTATACAATGATTAGGTAAGGGGGGTATTTTAGATGATATGCTAGATTTTATCATACTGGTATTTTCTGATACATGTTTTGAGTCAAAATATGGTCGGACGTTAGTATTCATCTGTTCCGAACCAAATAATGGTTCTGTAATTTTCCATGGTCCATTATTAGGTTGCATAATAGAGTTGGAAACTGGACTTGGGCGTACAGCTACCCTTGGTATTGTTGGTATTGAGTTTTGCAACAACTTAGGAGGCGATGTTACTCTTACTACAGCATGAGGTTCAGATAAACATGTATCTGGTAGCTGTATTGATGTCACTGGTTCTACAACATTTTGACATGATACAGGCAATATGGCATTACAGGTAGTTGAGGCAAAGGTTTGTTCAGATGTTGCAGAAATATTAATTTGTGGCGTTACAGGTTCTGGTATAGATGTTGACTGATTTACAACGACATAACCACCGGGTACTGTAGGTATATCGGAAACATTTCCTACATTAGGTGGTAAGGTAGAAATATTAGATATATTTTGAACAGTAGGTATCGCCGATATATTAGTTATATTAGAAGTACTAGGCAATGTAGGTGCATTGGATATATTAGACATATTAGATACACTGGGTATATTAGATACACCAGGTACACTAGATGCGGTAGGTACGTTAGATATACCAGATGCATTAGGTACATTTGATACACTAGATACATTGGATACACCAGGTGCATTAGATATACTAGGTGCACTGGGTATGTTAGATACACCAGGTGCATTAGGTACATGTGGTACACCAGGTATACTAGGTGTATTAGATGCATTGGGTATACTAGGTACGCTAGGCACATTAGATACACTGGGTATTGTGGGCACATTAGATATATTTGATATATTTGTTATGCTTGATATATTGGATACGTTAGATACATTGGATGCAGAGGGTACAGCAGATATATTCGGAATAGCGGGTACAGCTGGAACATTAGGTACATTGGTTACACTAGGTACATTAGGTATGCTGGCTATGTTGGTTACATTGGGTACATTGGATACATTAGCAACGTTTGGTACACTTGGCACTCCAGGTACTCCAGGTACTCCAGGTACATTTTGTACAGATTGCACTGCTGTTACAGTGGGAACACCTGGAACAGCCTGAACATCTACAATAGGTTCCATAAGTTTAGAAGCTTGAAAAACTTGCGTTGTTGTTTGATAACTGCTTGCTAACACTTGTGGTACTGTGCCAGTCATAAACTGACTGGAAGACATTACTGTGTTGCTTACAATAGTTTCCAAACCATAATACATTGGTTGATTTGAAAGAAACATACTGCCTGTAGAATCTGTAAACATTTCTAGCGTTGGTGTTGAACTTAATAATAATTGTTCAGATGATATAACTCCACATTGAATTGCACTAGGTTGTTGCTGTATAATTGTTCCAAGAACTGTTGGTTGTGTTTGAGCAATTTGTACACCAGGCAATATTGATATACCTCCATTTTGTAATGCCAATAAGTTATCAGAAGATGCTTGTATGTATGCACCAGGAACTAAATGATTAGTTGTTATAAACTGTGGTTTAAATGCAGTTTCATGTTGACCTCCAATTGTTGTTACATATTGAAGATTTTGTCCAGATTGTTGTTGCAATGTCTCAACATATGCAGACATGATACCAGGAGATGCTTGTTGTAATATAACAGTTGGCCCACTTGGTCTTTGAGTTTGTTGCAGTTGTATAACTGGAGTATTATTTTGCATTGGTTGAAACCTAGCATGTCCATTATGTGGCTGTATAGTATTTTTCACAATCTGTGTTTTTATTCCTTTCGTTCGAGATTTTGGCGCTCTTGGAGATTTTGATTTAGCTAATTTTGTTATCTGAATATTTGCTTGTGATTCATTAGTTGCAGTTTGAACACCTGTAGAAGAAAATGTAGGTGATACTTGTGGACTTGGAACTGTTTGAGAACTTGCACCATCTGGAGAATTCATGGGTGTATTAATGATATTTTGTGATATACTAGAATCACTTGCAACAGATGGTGGATCTGTAATTTCTGTTATTTGAACAGTACTTTCTTGAGGTAATACTGAAGCATTTGGTAATGTAGTTGTTGTTCTCGTATACTGTGTTTGTACAATCATATCATTAGATGTTAATACTGTTTGATGAACAGTTTCCACAGTAGCATGTGTATGAATTTGTGGTGTAATAATTGCTTGTGCTATTGGTTCGATTTGAATAGCTGGATGAGGTGATGGTACAGAAGCTTCTAAAGGAGAAGTAGCTTGTATATCTGGATAATCAGATGAAAGAGTATGTCCTTCAGATGGAGATAATGTTATAAATTGTGGAGATACAGAGCTAATACTTGGAGAAAATCTAGAATCAGGTGATGCTAATTTATTATCCATAGTTTCAGAATCACTATCGCTTGTTATCATGATATCACAATTTGTCAAATGTCTATTATAACTATCTTGTGTTCTATATGTACAACGACATCGTTTACAAGTTACAGGACGATCTATATGATCAAATGGTGCATCACATTGAGAAGTAATAGTAGTTCTTTCACTTTCAACATGTTGTGGTGATATGCACTCATCATCACTAGAAATATCATCTGCTCCATCTAATTGTGGAATTTCTAAATTCAATTTTAAATTATTTTCTTTAGTTTGTTGTATTGCATATTTTTGACAATTAGAAAAGTCATCATTTTCTTTAGTCTTTTGTGACTTATCATTAGATTTTGTAATATGTGATCTAATAAATCCATATATTCGTTTTGATCTTAAAATATTATTTGAAGATTTCGTACAAGGATTAAATTCTTTTTCAGAAAATGAAGTAAATTCGCTACTGTCACACGAAGATTCGTCGTTGATACCATCTAATTGCGGGATTGATAAATGTTCTGCCATACGTAATGCTGTAGTTTTTTCTTCAATATTATATTCTGGTGAACTGCATTCACTAGCACTGCTTGGATCGGCAGACCCATCAACTTGTAATATCCGCGGCTGTTGCCTCGCGTGCCAAAAAAGTCGTTTATGTTCTTTAGTTTCTTCACGACTAGTAGATATTACTCTACGATTAATACCATTAGCATCTTCAATACAGTATTTTAATTCTCGCATAGAATCAGATAAAATGTTAGGTGTATTTGCTCTGCCCACAGTAACCATGATACTTTCTGGAATTCTTAATTCATGTAATGTAGGTGGCCGTTCATTTTGTGAATCTAATACCATTACGCTTGTTTCGTTCGATTTTGTGATACTTGAATTTCTAGATAATTTTCTTCTTTTTATGCTGGGACCATAAGTACCATCTAATTTACAACTCCAAGTTAAACTACAAGATCGTTGATGATGTCTTTGTCCTCCAACAATTAACGGACTATTTGACATTACTTCCGATTTAGATCGTTTTAATTCTCTGCCTCCCCGTTTTTGATTTTTGGAACTAAATAAGTCATCCATTAAATCTTGAACAGAAGTTTTAGTTTCTAAATGAACCCATAAATCATTATGCGGTCCTAATTCTACTAAAGGGGGATCTATTTTAGAAACTTTACTTTCAGGTGGTTTTATAATTTCATCTACTTCAGATGCCAACATATCATCTTTAAATAAATCAGCTGCAAAAGTACCATCATTTTTTAAGTCCATTGCCAAAAAATCTTCATATGTCATTTTTGGAAATATATCTTGCATAGAAATACCATCTAATAAATCATGTGGCAAATCTTCAAATATAGCTTCCTTTAATTCTGGTGGTAAAAGATCTGTATTATTTTGTTCTGCTAGATTTTCATCAACTTCTTTATTACATACTGCATCAATTAAAGCATCTAAAGTTTGTTTAATAACTAAATATTCAGTTTTTTGTATATTTAATGTATCTTCTTTTTCTTGTTCTTTAGAATGATCAATAGTTATATTATTTTCTATATCGGAAGAAACTTCTGGTACATATACTTGTATATATGTTCTAATATAATATCTTACAATTTTAAAAGGATTTACTGTAGACCAATATAATCGAGAACATTTATAATCGCAAGGTATAATTTTTTCAACCGTATCGGAATATTCAGGTATAACAGTACCTAAACAATCAATCATCAATGAACCTATCATAACTTTTACTTTACTTGGTTCTGCATATTTTTTTTTCTTACGATCTAGTTCCACGTATACTGGTCTTCGTAAACTAAATTCATTTTCATTTTGTAATGTTTTATCAGTGCAGTTATTTAAATGCAAAGAACAAAATACTGTTTTATCGTCATTGAAAGCAAGTCCAACATTTCTTGCACAAGGATAATGAAAGGTATTGTTACAATTTTTCGCGCAGCAACCAACACTGGCTCCTTTCTTTCCGCATTCTGAACAACGAATTAACCGACCTCTTGAAATAGCACTATGAACATTCTGTAAAGAACCATCAATTTCTTCAAATACTTCATTAGACCAAAGTGCACAATTTGAATGCAACCATTCATTTTGGCCGCAATATAATAACCGTCCTTCTTTTGTTTCTGGACCATCACCTAAACCTTTGCACAAACAACATGATCTACTATCTTCAACATGAACGTTATATAAATTTGCTGTTTTGGCTGCAATTGCTTTTGGTGCTTTCATTACTTCTTCTTTCCATATTTCTAGTATAGAATCATCAAGTTTTGTAATTAAACTATCATCTTTATTAACATCCTTGGCAGCTGTTAATGTATCACTTTTTCCATTATTTTTAATATTTTTTGGACTAAACCATGGAAAAACTTCTCGTAAAATTTCATGATAAGCTTCAGTAAGTTCCTTGGTTTCAGTATAATTAATTACATGTTCCATATCACAATGAAATTGAGATAATGTTTTATATTCATTATTATTAACTTTTCGTTTTACCGACATCAATGTAGGCGAAGGTCTAACAATAATTTGTTGATCCAAGCAATTGCATTCTATATCATTTGAATTATTACTTGAATTTTCTTGAATTACTGAATCCTTTTTATCATTATCTTGAGTATCTTTTATAGCACAATTTTTTACTCGGACAGAACATTCTTTTAAATGAAATTTTTGTCGAAGGCGTCTCAAACCTCTTCTATTAGTGCAATCATTTTGTTGATCTTCATCTAATTTATTTATTGAATCAGATTTTGAATTATTATTATGTCCAAATTCTGTATTTTTATTCTTTTCACTATTGCCTTCTTCAATTTCTTCTATATTGGGACTTTCTTTGATATTTGAATCTATTTTTTCATTTGAAAAATCCAATTTTTTCCCATTAGAAACAGATCTACATAAACATTCTTTCCTTGGACTCCATTTTAATGCAGCGCAAACTTTTTTATTCTTACTTAACGATTTTATAACTCCTATGAAACCAGCTTTAAGTTCAGCTTCTATGGCATTTCTCCAAACGGAATTAGGATTAGAGGAACATTGACTGCATGTAAATTCAATAGTATCAGGTAAATAACTAAGAATTTGATAACGTTCATCAGAAAGCCCTTCACATTGAGCATGTACCCAATAAGAACATTCACTACATTCCATCATCTGAAAAATAAAATATAGAATTAAGAAAAATTTAATTATTATTATAGTTATTATTCTGAAAAAAATTATATAATATATTTTTATAAATTTGTATTTATCTGTACTCAGATATGAATTTTTACAGTAAACATATATTTATTAATTTGTAGAATAAAATATATACTTACCTTTGTATCAAAATCGTTTTCATTGTAACATCTTTGACATAAAGGACAGTAATTTCCTTGTTGACGTAATTTAAAACACATGGAGCATAATGGTAAATTGCCCACATGAACATTAACTCCTTCACTACCACAGCTCTTACACTTAACACAGCTTTGACACACATAAGGTCTTTCAGGACTATAAAGTCTCGCACTAACACCAGATTTTGACAAACACGAATGGTGAAATGATTGACGACAACGAATGCAAGACAATTTTGGACCAGATCTTAGATGGCAGGATTGGCATATTGTACATCGGGGACAGCACCAGTTTGGTTGAGCACAAGCATTCCATTCACTGGGTTCCAAACAAAAGGCATGATATGGCTCACAACAGCATTGACAGTGGATGAGCTGGAAAGATTTTTACAATGTACAATTATATATAATTCTATTCATATATACATTACTTACTGGTTCTTTTCCAGCACTTCCACAAAGGTAACAAATAGCAGGAATATGAAAGAGTTCTGAACCAATAAGGGCAAAACCTTTTGCTCCAACTTCTGTAGGATCATACTGTTCCCAAAAGTCTATAGATACTGTGTGTAATGTATCATTATTTGATTTAGATACCTGTAATGATTAATTTTTTTTGAAAACTACAAATATTAATATAATAAAATTTTAATTATTATATTTGCTTACTTGAAAATTTGATGATATATTTTGTTGTGATTTTCCTCTCTTAGAATGAGGTTGTTGTGTTATACTAGCAATATTATGATTTACAATATTTTCATCATTATGTTTTTGTGATTCTTTCTCTTTTGTTTCATCCTTTTTCTCTATCCTATCATTTTCCTTTAAAGTTTTCGGAATGTGCTTATTGCTTTCAGTACCTTCTTTTCCATCTATTGAAGGAAAAGTGGCAATTGGTTGACCAAGAGCAACACTTGCACTTCGACAAACATGTTTTACTCTTGGTCCCTTCAATTCAAGTCTCTGTCTTAGAGGTTGTGGACATTGATTTAAAGATGGTACAGAGAATATTGGATTTTTCAATTTCTTTCTCACTTTTATCCTATTGTTTTTTCTTCTTTTTTTATTAGGTGATATATTCAGTGATGAGTCAACTATAAATTTATGAATATTAGAAATTATAATATGCATAAAATAAATTATAAGAATCATTATCTTACATTTGTCTAATTTTGTATATAGAAAACCACCTGTGCCTTGAAAACTGGTTTTTTGACCTATTTCTATATTTCTCCAACTCATAGCTGATTTGAATAAGTTCTTTTCTGAACTATCTTCTGCTGGCCAACCTAACTTAGAAGATATTAATTTTTGTCCTTGATTATCATTATCTTCTTGATTTAGTGTTAATGGAATACTCAAAGGATCTCTCATCATTGGTGGTAACAATGTATTTAAACCTGTTCTTAGTGAAGAAGGAATATTATAACATTTTAAACACATTTTTAACCAACAAGCTGGGCATCTAGCTTTATAAACACATCTCATGAGATTCCATTGTTGACTTCTTACAACAGGTGGTACTAAGCATAAACCATCGCCTTTATGACATTGAAGGACTGGAAGGGCACTATTTGTAGATTTTGCACAAGCTTGCCGTTTAATCATTTTACTGATAAACTTTCTACATGATTCACAACTGTGAATACCAAATTTTCGAGCCTGCTTCACAAATCGATAAAATCGTACAGCACCACAAACGCCACATTTAATGGTGCCTGTTAAACCTAAGAAATTATACAAATAAAATAAATTTATTATTTTTTTTATTTCATATGATGATGATATAACTTTATTTATATCATAAAATAAACTTTTAAATCTGCATAGAAAAAAATATTATTTTAATTTTTATATATTAAAAATATTTAAATAAAGACTGTAAAGATTATTACACATACCTAAGTTAGTATTTCCACTTGTAATGCTATTATTATTTGTTTTTGAAAAGGGACCTTCAGTTCCACTAACACATTTATTATCTAATTTTAATCTTGCTTTTCTTAAAATAACTTTTCCACCATTTAATTTCATTCCAGTCCATTCAGACTGTTCATCTTCTGTATGATTACTATGTTCACTTCCACTTTCAGATAATGTACTTTCTGTGTCAAAATTATCTGAATTTCCCTCTGTATTTTTATTCCCATTATCAACATTAGTTTGACTTTTTACATTGGTATTTTCTTTTATTTTTACTGTATCTTCAAAATTTGTCTGAACTTCTAAGTCAACTGTATCATTGTGAGTTCCTGATCTTGTTTGGATCCTGGAAGACTCTGAACTTGGAACATCAGAATCAGGAAGAACTTTTGTAGGAACAGAAATTGATTTTTGGGCTTTAGAGATAGATAATTTTGCATTTTGAGGTTTTCTAGTTGCTGTATTTGCTGTTCCACTTTGATTATTACTGCATTCATCAGATGAAGATTTTACTATTTTATTTTTAGTCGATACATTTATTTTTTTAACATTTGTATTAATAGTTTTTGATACTTGTGCGTTTTGTATAGAAGGAGCTAATTTTTCAAGATTTTTTGCTGGTATAACAGTTTGGATATTGGAATTTACACGCTGAATAACTTTTTTGGCTTTACTTTTCACTTCTTTGTCTTTTAATTTTGTACAGAGTTTAGTAATATTTCCTTCTTTTAATTTTGGTTCCTGATTACAAAGTTTGTTTAATGTAAATTTAGCTTTCTTTACATGTGTACCAATTTCATTTTCACTATGCTCTGCTCCAGAAATTTCTTCTAATTCTTCAATAAATCTTTTATTTGGTTTAATAACTCTCGAAGAATGGGCACTTCGAACTGGCAAAATAAATTTTCTTACAGCATTTGGTTTATCTCCACATTGTGCTGTTATATTACGTACATTATTACTGTTAGATTTAGCCCTTTGCAATAATCTTTTTGCAGTACTGTTTCGTAGTTGTCTTGTTCGTTGATGCTGGTCTAAAATATTATTCACTGATTTTAATACTGGTGTTTTCATAAAATTGGAGAATTTTATATTTTTACAATTTCTGCGACTTTTAGGTCTATGAAATTTAGCACGTTTGGAATTTAATGGTGTCACGTCTTTTTTATCATCTTCTGCTGGTTTGATATTTTTATCACATAATTTTTCTGTATTATTTTCAGTGTTCGATGGAGAATTTTTGACATCTGTAATATTTTGTTCATTCTGTTGTGGCATAGAATTATTAACAGCATCAGATGATAATTTAACAGTTGTATTTTCTGTGTCATGTTGTTGTGTTTTTATATAAGACACGGAAAGATTAGCCTCTTTAGTGCTAAAACCATGGAATGGTGGATGTTCCTAAGAAAAAATATATTAAACATTAAAAATAAATTACATTAATATTATTTTCTTTTTGTTTATTAATATCTTATATTTTATTTAAATTAATAAATTAAAATTGAATATTTATATCTTATATTTATATTTATTTTTACTATATAAATATATTTTTAAGTATATTTATATTTCAATATGATCAAAAATATTTAATAATTTGAAGGCATTAAAAAGTTAAGTTAAAGTTTACATTTTATATGAAAGAAGAAAAAGATATTAATAATATAGTTAAAATATGTCTACAGAATAAAAATAAGATCGAAATATAAATTTTTTATAAAATCATTGACATTTTCCACTATAGCGGTACATTAGTATGTATTATATACATCTGCCATTCTGTGATTCCCTTCTAATAGGTTAACTTTCATTATACAGCCAAATCTTGGACTTTTTCAGGCCACCGAATCGGCGCCGTATGCGTCCCTATGACGCTTATAAAATAAATACAATTGTTTGTAAGTCGGGAAAGAATTATATACTTTAACTAATTACGCGCCTTACTACAAGTAGTTCTAGTGAAAGATAAACTACGAATTACCTTCTCGTTGTCACCAAATGTTTCGTTGAACAGGGAAAGTCCGTAGTAGATGTTCTCGGCGACGGTTACCGAATCACTTTGGGCTGTCTCGGGCTGACCGAGAACTTTGATCCGTTTCCTGGTAACCGTCTTCGGCGGCTTCCCGGGAAACTTGGACCTTCCCATGTTCACTTTTTTCAACGGCCAACCTCAACCTCACAACGAAATTCTGTTTCCATTTTACGCGATTTTGCCCAGTCGAGGCGCACCAACTGAACACCAACGAACACTTAACACACACGGAACTCACAAGCTTCGTTAAACATCGGTTAACGTCGGCTAAATTCGATGATAGCCGCGAAATACGCGCGTACTGTCAAACACAGAATCACTAGTAGTGTATATATAAGATGGGTACATGTGTTTTCAAATACAAATGCGCGTATTCATCTAGTGATTTTTACTTGAGCAAATCCAAGTTACGCGCGCTCAATCACATTAACTTTTATTTTAATTTGTATAATTATAGTTCTATATAAAATTCATATATTACATAAGATATTTGTGTAAATTATAATTATTATTTTTTTATTTATAAATTATTGATATCTATAAATAATAATAATTAATAATAATAATTAATAAATAATTAATAATTATTCATAAAATGATAAAAAATATAATGCATAAACTTTTTACTTACAAATAAAAAATTTTAATCTTATATTCAATAAATGATGATAGCGATGATGTGATTGGTTTTGTATTGCATATTAAATGCTGTCCAGTTTTGTCCACCATAATACATTTTACACTAGGGAATATTAATTTTCATTTTGTAATACTTATTAATTGTAATACTTTTTTGTAATACTTATTAAACTTATTAATTTCCATTTCCATAAACATTTAATTATTTTAAAAATATTATACTTTATTTATTTATAATTTTTTAAATTTTAAATTTATTTTCAATTCTATATAAAAAATTGAATTTTTAAATATTACTATAAATAAAAATTAAATAATTTTATTTGAATTATTATTATTAAATAATTTTTAATTTTAGAAAAAAAAAGATATATTTGAAAAGTTATTATTTATAATAATATATTTTAATTGATAAATAATAAAACTAAAAAATATTTTTATAAATTAAAATTTATGATATTAAATAATATCTATTAAAAAATTATTAATGTATCTGTTTAATATGTTATACATATCTTTCAAGTAATAAAATTATTTTATTTTATTTTACATTGCTTCAACATAGACAGATAATAATATTTTATAAAATAATATTTAAAAACAAGTTATTAATATTAAAAATTATCAGAAACTTTACTTATATCAAAATATTTGTTATATTATCAAAATATTTAAAAAAATTATGATACATTACTTGAACTGATTGTACAAATTTTTTTATGTAATTAATTAATTAAAAAAATAAATTAATTTATTTAAAATTAAAAATAAAATTTATATATGATATTAAGAGGAATAGAGCAATATAGAAATGATTTAAAACAAAAATATGAAACAAATTTATTGCTAATTAATTTTATCTTTGGATCGTTATATTTGATATATATCCAATCAATATTAATTAATGATCATTTTTTTCGCTTTAAATTGTTGAGTCATTGTATAAAATGCAAAATTCTCTTCATTTCATCAAATTCATTTTATTATATTATTATTATTATTCACTTTTATAATTTACTTATATTATATTATTATTATCACTTTATATATATTAATGAGAATTATATAAGATTTAATAAATTAAACAAATTTAAATAAAAGACTCTTAGATACAATATGTTTAAATAAAAAATTAATTGAAATATTGAAAATAATTGAAGAAAGCTAAAAAATTAATTTTATCTCATCATTCATTATTACTTTTTTTCACATTATTTTGCCAAAATTAAAACTTTTTTCGAATCGAATTTCTGCTGCCTATTAATAATATAACATTAGAGATTTAATCAAATCAGTTCATTCATATTACGTAAAGACTAGGGTCGATAAATGAGGTATACATGAATTACAAATCCGGTATTTCATGTGCGCTGACCTGTGTTCCATTTAAAAGGGCCTCCATCGATACAACCGTCAAGTACCACTTTTAGATCCATATTGTATTTTTCCTTTGTATCCTCGTTGTGTATAAAGCTCGTTCTGCATTCTGTTCATAAAACTTCGTTCCCTACATTTCATTTCGATTTTTCTACATATATACACAAATAATTAACGTCAACAATTTCTTTACTTGTGCTAAATAAGCAAAATAAAAGTTTTCTTTCTATTTCTCCGACGATCAAATTAAAAGATATTCGATTATCAATGTAATTGGCATTATTTCCACAAATTTTTTTCTTTGAAGAAAAAAATCCTTTTCGAAAGAAAGGAATATTTTTTCTGATTAAGTTTGAAATGGAAAAGATGTGACAAAATCTATAACCATCTTTACTTTTATAGCAATACAAATTGAGACGTGTTATATAGAATTCAAATGTCGGCCACCAATATCATTTCATTCTATCGATTTTTCCGTATCAGAAATATTTATGTACGCATACGCGTATGCATGTACTAATAAACTCTATATTTTTAATAAGGGATATCAATACCGTATTACGTTTCCCCCTTTTGTGCCGTTCCAACCAGGTCAGAAACTAAATTACGCCGCGTCACAGAGAAATATTCGGATGCAGCCGCTGTTCTTGATTATTTCAATTTATGTTTATGGCCAAAGCTAAAAGGGACGTTGAAAAATTATTTTATATTCAGTCAGTTTTTCATAACTCTTAATTAAGAAAAAATATATAGATATATACATATGTTTTTATTCGTTTTTAATTATAATACCGTTTAAAGTAAAAATAATGGGCGAATATAGTCGAATTATCATTGAAGTTAAATATGATTTCAAAAATTTTAAATAAATATGTTTATTCGTAGTAATCATTTGGATAATATTTTATTTAATCTTGACAAATTATACAGACTGTTGAATTATCTTACATCATATTGTAATTCATAATATTAAACGAATAAATAAAAAATTAATAGATATAAGAAAAATTTATTTCACTTTCTATCCAAATTATAACAAATGAAGAATAAAGTACGTACAAACGACTAATTGGATCTAAACCATTTTATTTAACAAAAAAAGATTTAACGTAAAAGAGGAAAACGCTACTTATCAAACAACCAGTTACATAAACAAACGTGTACCAAATATACTTGCACCCTCGTCAAATGTTTTCCCTCTAAACCGGGACCCAAACCACGCAAAACAAGCATTTTAAAAAAGAACTCATCCCCTTTCTCCTCCTCCTAAAAAACAAAAAAAAAAAAAAAGAAAGGTATACAAACCAAACAATCGGTTTGCAAACTGCATTTTCAAAAAAAAAACTCAAGAAAGAAAAAAACAAGGGGAATAAAAATTATTCGAAGTCGAAGTGGAAGGTGCTATAATATGCAAAGTCGCGTCGCGTTGAATCAAATTCAAATTGGAGACGATCTAACGCGATAGTTTACCTGTATACCGCGGAAACCTGAGACTCGTTACGCCGGTATACGATTAAGCAGCGGGCGAACGAGTTTATCTCTCGATCATTCCGCTCGAAATGCCCGAGCGGGTGTGGTACCGGCCGTATTCGTTGGGATCGGTCAGCTAGCCGGTTGTAACGGAGCTATAAGATCTGCTGTTCCGTTTCGTTGCTTTGCATTGCGTACTTACTCTCTTTCTTTCCCTCTCTTTCTTTTTCTCTCCCCCTCTCTCTCTCTCTCTACCGCACGTCGCCGTGTTGGTGCACACGGTCTTCACCTCGGTTGGACAAGTGTGCGATCCTAGAAGGATAACGCGTATATGCGCCACGACTTGCTGGACCATTTGCGAACCCATGAGAAAGACCGATGGACGCTTATACATATTAATAGCTACACGTATATTACTCATACCAAGAGAGCTCTCGACATTTCCCTCCCTTTCCAAGATGCATCTTTTCCATCTTACTCTCCCCCTTTATTTCGCGATATACATTTTGTTTCCCTTCTCCCGTGCAACGATTCCGATATTTTCGCGACGGATGGCCGTCGTGAATATACATGTAAGTATATGTTATACTTATATTTCACATGGTGTACAGGCGACGCTTCTTCGTGCAGATGTTTTCGTTTGGTCGTCGTTCCATTGGTTACGGAAGAAAAGAGGGAGGGTCGTGAAAGTACAAAGCGTGAAACGACGAGTTATGAATTTAGATTTAATATATTCTTTCTTATTTTCTTTTTTCGTCACTAATTGTTATATTTACTTCATCTCGTAAGATTCATATTACATGGGTAATTTCGATTAGATAAATCTCTTATTTGAAATTATTTATATTTTAATATTCTAATCAAAGAACTTTCTGAAAAAAAAAGAGCAATTATAGAATATATAGAATTGTATAAATTATGTCAGAAAATTTAAATTAATACTTAGAATTATAAGAAATATTTGGAATCAAAAAAATTACTAAAAAAAAAAAGTTATATGGAATTTTTTGACCAATTATATTTTTCTAATACAAAGTCAAAAATTTGAATAAAATGAAAAATTTCTGCCTCGGAATTTCTGAAAAAATTTCTGCTATTTCCTGCCCAATTATATTCTTCTGATACAAAGTTGAAATTTTTGATAGCAAAATTTTTATTCAAATTTGTAATTTTATAATAGGAAAATATAAATGGAGAGACAGACGTGAAATTTTTCTCGAATATTTCTAGACAATAAATTTTTTATCATCATTAGACATTTTTAATCAAATTTTAAATTTATGTATTTGAAGAATATAATTTGAGAGAAGATGGCACGTTGAAATTTTCTGGAATTTAGTGTACTTATCTGATTCATACTTATCCTTTAAATATATATTTGATTCTGCACTTGGTGCTGCTAAATTTTCAGGAAAAAAAATATTTCACTTAATTATAATTATGGAATTTAATATTTTCCACTTATTGTATTTAAAGACATATGAAATAAATTTGATTTCCATCTTTTGCACTTTATACGTTATGAAAATAACAAATAACTTATTTAAATAGGTACTAAAAAGTTAACGTTGATCATAAAGTTGACGATGAAGATTTTTAACAACCGAGGATGTTGGAATTAATTATAAAATTTTAATCAAACACATATACATTCATATAAACACATATTTTAATTAAATACATATTTGCAATGCTTTCT